CTTCCAGCGCGCCTGTGGTTGCTTCAGAACCATAAATTGGCCTTAAATGCACCAGGGAACATTATCACAGATCCTTCCTCCCAGCAGGTGTAAGACTATATAACCACCACTGTTCCCAGTAACATTTTTCAATAAATTGATTTTCTATTCAATTCTATTATTTTCTATTCTAATTATAAGGGTTCTATTGCTTTTTGTTTACTTTGTCAAATCTAATAATTTAATTTAAGTAATCTTTGAAACGTTCATGTATTTACTTGTTTAAGGCATTTATTTAAAGTTTTACTTCAACTTTGTATTGGTGAATAATTATTTTTAGTAACAAGGAGGGAATTTGGGGCAAATGAAAATGCCTCAGCTAAATATCTCTTCACATGGTTGGTGCAATAATAACAGAGGATGAATGTAATGAAGGTTTTCAACCACAAAAAACAATACAAACCTCCTCATAATACAAAGACACGACATGGGGGTGAAAAGTAAGCCTGTCAGCAGCAACGTGAGTAAAGAGCGCGAAGGGGAGAGAGAGAGTGAGAGAGGGAGGAAAAGGGAGGGAGAGAGTCCGGACATTGGCTGCTTTCCTCAGACTCTCCAAGGAGGCAGAGATGGAAACAGAATGAACCTGGCAGGGAGCTGTTTCAAAGGAAAATGCCTCTTGGGTGTCGTTACCCACTGGCATCAATATCAGAACCGAGTATTTTGGAGAATGAAGCAGAGACTTCCAATTTTTTCTCGATGCTTGGAGGATTATGGACCTTGGCTGTGAAGGTTTGGATAGCTACCTGCTTCTTTATTTCTCTCCCCTCCCTCTGCTATAGTCAGCCCTTTATTTCCGTCACGTCTTATATTATTATTATTTTCTAGGAAGAAGGGTCAGCCGGGCTTTGGCACCGACGTTGAAGATGTTTTTGCGTCGTGCTTCGCCTCCGTTGGACGCAGGTGCGTTTAGATTCCCAAACCTGTGGCCGCGCGCTCCTCAAACACTGCGCTGTGAGATCCGTGCGTCTTTGCTCCATTGCGCATGCTCAGTGTGAGATCCAGAATGCTGCCCCGACGCGTCTGCGCTGCGTCCTGGCCGCGATGTAGCAGCAGCAGCAGCAGCTTTGGGAAGTGGAGAGGAGCAGAGGACTGAATGAGGGGGGAAATAAACATGCGCGCTGGGACAAAGTGGCTTCATCAAAGGATTTGAGCCGAGATAGAAAACAGTGGCACTAAGTGAAGAATGTCAGGGGCACCACATGCGGAGGCTGAAGGAGTAGTCTCCAAAGTAAAAGTGAAAAAGGAGATCAAGACAATCGTGGAGAATTTGGAAACCATTCTGGGAGACCTTAAGGATGTGGCAAAGGAGCTGAAAGAGGTAGGCTAATATTTATAGAAAAACAACAACAATATTTTTTAACCATCCTGTTTGAGAATGCTCTCTTTAGGATATTTTGTCTGGCAGAAGATGAAAGACTGGCGTCTACCTCTACTGTGGTCTGGACTGTGCTCCTCCTACCCCATCATGCCCACAAATGCATGTGATCATTATCACCAACATGAAAGCCATTTGGCACAGGAGGATGTAGGGGTGTGAAATGACAGGACAACTCCTTGACTCACAAGCCATGATGAAAGTGAGAAATTGCAATCACAATTAATATTTAATGGACAAGTTGGTCCAACCACAGAGGCGCCTTTTGCATTGTATTTCATCATCTTAATGCAGACTGTTGTTCACTGGGAATTGGCTCCTGCCAGATAATAGGGATGTGTTTGCATCTCTGTTAAGGTGTCTCTCTCACTGCCTTCTAAACTTAAACTCTCCTCTCTAACCTGCTTTGGATTCTTTGCTAAAATACCAAAACTCTTGGATCTCAAAGGCTTCATTTGAAGAAAGTTTTTCAAAGGGGTGGTAATATATATTAATAATAATTTAACTTTATATATCTCACATTGGAGAAATTTACCTCTGCATTTAACCCATCCCCTTGGGGAGCAGTGGGCTGCCATTCTGAGGCGCCCAAAGAGCAGAGTGGGGTTAAGGGTCTTGTTTAAGAGGCTGTGGGGATCAAACCAGGTACTTGCAACCTTCTCAGAGCACAAGCGCACTGCTCTAACCTCTAGGCCAACACTCCCTGATATCAGGGACACTAGAGACGTGAAGGAAAGACATCTGGGACTAAAATAATTATATAAAAATGAGCGATGCTTCAATCCTCTTTGATAATTCAGATTTCTTTTTTTTCATCCTCATTAGATGCACTACATCATTTACAAAATATTTATGAACCTCCAGATAATAACTGGACCCAGTTTTTTTTTTTACTTAAGCAAAGATTTAATGTTTTCATGCATTAAAAGTGGAGAAATTGTAGTTTAGGGTTCTCAAACTCCAGTCTTCCTGGGACACAGTAGAGTTTGATTCTAGTCTAATAGGGGATTTAAAAAAGGGACTCATCTAAAGGTGTTTTCAAAGTTCACTTACTTTGGAACAAATAGGCTGATGAGTTTGTTCACTTCTGACCTCTTCCATTGTTCTGGTTCCTTTTTATGCAGAAAAAAAAGGCAAAAACAGAACCTCAGTCTGTTTGTTTGTTATTGTTTTTCTTTTTCAAAGACTCTTCTCATTAAGTTTCATACACAATTACAAAACAGAACCTTATAGGAACAGCCATTATGGTCCTTATGTAAAAGCTAATCTATTGGGCAATTATCAAGCACTGGGACATCAATTCTCAATGCTTTAATGACAAACAGGACAAGTAGGTGAGCTGTTACCAAACTCCGGTAGTCATTTAGTGAGAGGCGGATTATATCCTGGATAGGTTACCAAAATTGTTCAGAGGGCATCTCAGAACAAATCACCATGCACACACTGGGCACTTTGGGGCAACTTAGTTCATTGGCTTTTAATGGCCTTTTTTTGAATGATGATTTTATCTAAACCAAGAAGCCCTGGCTAACAGTTTCCATCAGTTATATGAATTGTATGGTGTTTCTGTGGTCTCCGAGGTTAATGGTCACAGTAGATAGCAGCTGGAGGTCTTTGAAAACATTGCAGCACAGATTTAGAGAAACCAATTTGCCTAACAGTAATGTTTTTGGACTGTGGGAGGAAGCCAGATTATGTGGTGGGAATACAAGAATCCATGCACGTGAGGATTCGAACCCATGACCTCATGGATATTCAGGGAACGGACATTGAGATGGTGGACTCTTATAAGTACCTAGGTGTTCATCTGAATAACAAACCTGACTGGACTCACAACACTAAAGCTCTCTACAAGAAAGGTCAGAGCAGACTCTTCCTGCTGAGGAGACTTGTTTTGTGAGTGTTTTGGCGTGCAGGGGACACTCCTAAAGACCTTCTATGACAGCCATCCTCTATGGAGCTGTCTGTTGGAGCAGTGGCTTATCTGCAGCTGAGCGAAAGCGTTTGGATAAGCTGATCAGGAAGGCCAGCTCTGTGATTGGATGCCCTCTTGACTCAGAGCAGATGGTGGGAACCAAAACGATCCTATCTAAATTAACATCCCCAGTGCATTATGTCTCCCAACCCCATGCATGAAGCTGTTGCAGAACTTGAGAGCTCCTTCATTGACAGACTGCTGCACCCTAAGGGTAGATTATACTTCTGCAACCGCACATATCAAATGTCGCTTGAGTTTGGACGCAAACCAGTTTTGCTGGTATGCTTCTGCACCATCGGTCTGGAATTTCTAGGGACGCACAGCAGTTTCCCACCAAAGCGAAAGGCGGAGCCTATTCGAGAACTTCGGTGGACTGTCCGAGAACTTTGGCAGTGCCGGCGGGAGTTTTTAATTTCCAAAA